AACCTCCTCAGGAAACAAAAGAACCTCCTCAGGAAACAAAAGAACCTCCTCAGGAAACAAAAGAACCTCCTCAGGAAACAAAAGAACCTCCTCAGGAAACAAAAGAACCTCCTCAGGAAAGCTCCTCCATTAGCATGTCCATACCCTGGGGAACTCCTACAAGACAATGACTCAGCCCTTCCCACCTTCTGGAGTAGATATAAATTTACTGCCTACCATTTTCTTCTCACCTTGACATAGAGAGTATTCCATCTTTCTGTGTTTATACCTCTGAGGATGCCAGTCACAGCTACTGGCGAAACGTCAGGTTCTACAATGCCAAGACCATGGCCACACATCCCGGAAAATCTACAGCAACTAATGAACTTCGTCCGTGAAAGCCTTCGACAACATATTAAACAGTAAACGTTGCTATGACGGGTCGGTCACCAGCCAACACTATTCATACAGGATCTCAGCTAGCTCTCTGGTGTGTCATACCCACTAAGGATTGTGGGGAAGCATTACAGAGCACCTCAAAAGGACCGATTGTGTAAACGGCCTTGCACCAGCATTCACTTGGCAACTATTTCTTGCCTCAGGACCAAGTTGGTGGGTGAACTACAAAACAGCATTTGCCTAGTGAAGATACAAGGGAGAATCTACATAAAGCCATGTGATTTCCATTCTTTACATATGGCACCACAACTGCAGAGGGAGGCAGAACATCAGAATGTGCCAGCCTGCAGGACGCTTGGACACAAGCTGGTGCTCCCCTGCCCAGCTCTGGCTTCGCTTAGTATCGCTGGGCCACCCTGAGTACCCTTCCATGCCAGCCCAGTTGGGTCCAAGGCAGACTCCAGTGGCATGGGTGCTGTGTGCTGCCCACACCAGGTGCAAGGAGGTAATGGCAGGTGCGAGCCACACCCATCTCCCCCTCCCATGTTACTGTCGCTTCAGTGGTCCCACGCAGCCACTTGGGTGTGACCTTGGGGGCTGCCCCTCAGCAGGAGGTGGTAGGATAGTGTCTCCCTCTAATGAAAACGAGCCAAAGGGTCTTGTAATTCTTTTTTAGAAGAAAAGGAGATGGAGGGAAGGCATCTGTAGGGCAAGGAGCAGGGCTCCCAAAAGCCTTACTTGTAGCCAAACTTGTCCATGGCAATAGCCACATGCTTAGGAAAGCGGTCGCAGGTGTACAGGTTGCGGTCATCCTCAGGGATGAGGTCCACGTCGTGGAAGAACATGCAGTCCCAGTCTTCATCCTTCATGGCCTCTTTGAAGCCCACATTCAGGAGCTTGGCCCGGTTGAAAGTGTAGTTCTCAGCCTGAGGAAGAAAAGGGAAGGCAGGACAGTTAACCCTGGAGTAAACAGCCATGCGTAAAGAGTCCAAGAAAAGGCTTGTGTTCCTGCCGGCCCACAGTGCTAGACACCTTCACCGACCAGGGCTGCATTAAAAATAGTAGCCCTTCTCTGGGCTGAACCTGGAGCCTCTTACCTGGGATCCAGAATTAAATGTATCCTCTGCCTTTCTCTAAAGCATGGACGTTTCAGGTTTGTTCATCTACAACCACTCCCCATTCAGAGGCCACCACAGTGACTACAGTCACTTGGATAGCCTTCCTTTGTCTCTGCAAATAGTGGCTAGGAACCCTTGCCTTATGCCTGGCTCCTCCCTCCCTCTCTAGAGGACCAGACCCTCCGTAGCACAAAGTCATGAACCCCTGCCATTTTTGGAAGGAACAAAGTTTTTCCAGCTTGCTGCAGCAGTCAGACTGCTAACCTCTGCCAAGACCCGAGAACGTGACACAAAGAGCCCTGCTGGATCAGACCAATGATTCAGCTGGCCCAGAATTCTGTTTCACCAGTGGCTAATCCGATGCCCCCAAAAAGCCTGCAAGCAGGGACAAAGCCTCCCATTTGTCATGCCCACAAGTGGTATTAAGAGGTACAATACCTCTGAACATGGGCTTTGCTACCTAGCCATCGTGGCTAATAGCAACTGATGAACCTAAACACCGTGAATTTGTCTCATCCCCTCTTTCATCCCTGATAGCAAATGGTCATTGCAATATCCTATTATGTTGACTCCCACAAAAGTCCATTAGGTATTCTGAGAAGGACTGTTTTTCTGCCTGCTCTGAACCTATTGCCCACCCAATGCATTGGATTGCCCTGCAAGTTCTAGTATTGTGGAAAAGGGAGCCAAAGATCTCCGAAATCCACTGACTCCAGAGCACCTTCCTACCTCTGCCAAGCAGCAGAAGAAAGCCTTGCCTGGCTGTCCTGGGTAAATAAATAGACGTGTCCCAATCACAGCTGCACACAAAGACCTCTTTTGTACAAACCTGCAGGAATAGCAGAGCTACGGCCTCTGTAACCACTCCTCCCAACAGGAGAGAAGCCACACGTCAACGCAGAGACCCCGCAATAGCCACAGTACCTCCTTCCCCGTTTCCTATAACTTGGAAGACAGGACGGCAAAACTGTATTTACCTTATTTATAGTCCACCTTTCTCACTGAGAATCAAGGTGGACTATGCAACTGCGGCTACTGCATCACCCAGAGAAGAGACTGCAACATCGGCTCTTATCAGAACGCTTGTCTCCTTTCAGGAATCGCACTGGGAATGCAGGAGTCCCACTCCCCCAGAAACTTGAGACTCCTGCCTTACCTAGACAGTGCTGCACCATACCTGGTGTATGATGTAGATGCCATAGTTGAGCTGCTGGCGCTGCAGGAAGGGATGCAGGTAGTAGAGCAGGTACTTGAGGTGCTGCTCCCGGTTGCGGTGGGGTATGATGATGGCAGTTTTGTGGGTGGCGTCACAGTCCGGGGGGCGGTAGCGCCCGCCTTTGCTCACGTAAGGGTTCTTCCGCACGATATCGTCCAGCAACAGCCCTGGGGGGAAGGTCACCCGAATGGGACCTCCTGTAGGTGGGCAGACAGAGAGAGGTCGGTGAGGCTTCCCTCCAGCTCACCTGGTGTCGACAAGCCGAGGGTCAGCTCCGCAGCAACCCACAGCTCCTAGGTGTTAATTCTGCAATAAGCATTCAAGATTAAACCCACAGTAACAGAACAGTCCTACGCTTCTCCTCCTCTTCTATTCCCAGTAAAGTTCTGCTGACACATTTAAAAACTTTTCCACTAGTGATGTATTTAACAAAAAATGGAAAAGGAAAAGGGAGGCAAGAAAAGAACCACTTATCCTGATTCACAGATCACCCTCCTTATCTATCAACATTTCAGCTGTGCTAGGTGACTAGAAAACCAGATGTACTGAGACAATTCAATTTAATTTTGTTATTTGAATCAAAGAAGTACATAGAGACACACACCCCTTAAAAAGGCTATCAATTTACTGACTTATCACATTCCTAGTTCTTGTTTCAGACCAGAGGCACAGGGTACAAGTCTGGATTGTGCTATGCTGATTATGGTGGCATCCTTCCGGAACTTTGCTCGAGGTCATGCTTAGAAGAGGGCCAGGACCCAAAAGTCTGGTTCTGGGCTTCCCCACTGCTATGGGTCTCTCGTCAGGGGACTGCTAAATTTGCCCTGAAATGGAATCAGTGGTCATCATGGGAGCAAACCGCTAACATAAAGTTGATGGCAGCTTTCAGGTTACACTGCATTTCCCATCAGGCGAAACAGGCTTTCCAAGTACAAAAGAAAGGCGGTGTTAAGTTCCCAGCAGGCTTTTGACCATATTCTGCCTTTGCATGCTCAAAATGCAAGTACTGCTGGATGAAAAGTTTAGTGCAGCTCAAAACCTTGCAGCACTGATTGGTCCAATGCTGGAGCGAGTCACCAACTCATTTCTGCTGTCCCTTCCCAGCCAACCAACGCTTTGGTCTCGGGGATGGAGCGCACAACCGAGCTCAGAACCAAGAACAGTTAATTACGCAGGTTAAGGTCCCTTACCAAGGAAAGGAGATGTCTCGGGACAGTAAGGGAGGTCCTCTGGGGGCAGAGGGGGCCGGGCAATCAGGCTGAGGTTGGCATAGACGTCCCCCAGCAGCGAGACATTGTGCAGACTGCTCAGCATAGTCGACGTGCCCCCCTTGTAGAAGATGCCCAGGAAATAGGCCACCCGCTTGCGGTAGCCCTCACGGTACAGGAGGGCCATCACCACCAGCTGCACCCCCAAGAAGAGCAGTAGGTAGCGGCCACGCAACTGCAGCATGGCGGGGCAGAGCCAAGATCATCTATCCATGGTGTGGCTGGGCAGAATGGAGGCACCGGAAGGAAGTACCTGTTGAGAGCAGAAGAAGTTAGAAACAGAGTGGACACCCTATTAAAGGATCCTTAGTCAAGCACAGGGGGGATCCCCGACCTTTTTGAGCCTGCGGGCCCCTTTGGAGTTCTGACACAGCGTCCCCTCTAAGCTGAGGTAGTGTGAGCTAGCTCAAAGTTTTCTTAGCCTCCAGCTCTCACATTTTCGTCTTAGCTTAGGAAGGATGGCTCCAGGGCAAACTAATTTATGCAGCAGCCAAATCGCTCGCTCACAACTTTAATGCCAGCAGCTCACAAAGTAGAATTTTTGCTCACAAGACGACACAGCTTAGAGGGAGCATTGCAGCCAACCAAATCTCCAGTTGCCGATTAGAAGCCTTCCTAGGCTAAAGCCCCACCTTCACACACCCTACACACACTTTCTGAAGACACTTGATGGTGCCAGGATAGATGGTGGGTTTGTACCCATGGGCAACGTGTTGCACAAATGCAAGAGTTGCCATGCTGGATCATCTAGTCCAGCATCCTGCTTGATGCAGTGGCCAATCAGTTGCCCCAGAGGGCCACAAGCAGGGCACAGAGGCCGAGGGCCTCTCCCTCACATTGCCTTCTAGCACAGATGCTTCAGGTAGACCCACAAGCAGGACCCCCCAGCAACAGCCCCCCCACACACAGACCTGCTGACTGTTCACCAGCACTTGACCATCCTCAATAAATATGAGACATTCTGCTTCTAAGCCCAGAGGTCCCATTAAGAATGTAAGACAAGCCCTGCTGGATCAGACCAGTAGTCCGTCTAACCCAGCACCGTGTCTCATACAGAGGAGAACCAGTTCCTCTGGAGGTTCAACGACGGCATAGAGGCCGAGATCTTCCCCTGATGTTGCCTCCTGTCTCTGGCATTCAGAGGTTTCCTGCCTCTGAATGTGGAGGTTCTGTTTAGTCACCGTGGCTAGTAGCCACCGATAGACCTCCGTGAATCTGTCTCATCCCCTTTTAAAGCTGTCTGTGCCTGTGGCCAGGAGGGAAGGTGGCCTGGTGCAGCCTGATCTCGTCAGATCTCAGAAGCTAAGCAGGGTCAGTACTTGGAAGGGAGACCACCAAGGGATGCTCTGCAGGGGAAAGGCCATGGCAAACCTCCTCTGCTTCTCACCTGCCTTGAAAGCCCCTTGCTGGGGTCACTGTTAAGTCAGCTGCAACTTGACGGCACTTTCCAACACACACCTACGCCTGTGGCCATCACCGCATTCAGCGATCATGGCAAACAGACAGCAGTAGACGACAACAAAGTTAGCCCAAGCCCCCTTTTAAATCCATCTCAATAAGAGGTCATCTCCACATTGTGTGGCAATGAGTTCCACAAGGCAGCTACTGGTTGTGTGGCACTGTACTTCCTTTCCGTTTCATATGGTGACCCCCCCACCCCCAAGTTCTAGTATTATAGGAAGCTTTCTTTAAACTCTGCATACTTTTGTAGACTGCTATCATGCCTCCCCCCACACGTCATCTTTCCCCCCCAAAAAACTGAAGAGCTTCAGGTGCTTTAGCATTGTCTCACAGGAAAGGCATTCTCAATGCTACAATAGTAATTGGTATATGAGCTTATGAAACGTAATCCAACAATACTTCTAAATGGGAGGTCAAGCGTGCTTTGTTTTCGATCACGCAAGCATGCGCTGCAGGGACCACCTCGGGAGAGGCATTTCCTCATGTGCAAGGAATGCCTCTTCCCGGCACCCTGTTTTGGTTGGTCTTTACAGCATCGTTCTTTTTTAATCTGCTTCCCAATTAACTGGGACACCTTTTAAAAGTCAGTTGAGCTGTTTTCCTTCAATCCAACGCGCTCCAGGCCACATCTCTACTTTGGAGTCACCACCAGCGAGTGGCGAAGCCAGAGGGGAGCAGCAAAACACAAAGCCCTGTTCTCCCTCCCACGCCCAAAATGTGTGTACACAAGGCAAGTCGTGTATACATAACGTAAGCTCTATTTCCAAAAGTAAGACAACTTCTTTTCCTTGTCGCAACACTGCTGGAATGCGACCAAACCACTGACTATACACGAGAGCACATCCACCCCACTCCTTGCAAGCTGACACGGAGAAGAGGGTGCGTGGCCAGAGAAGGCAATAAAAAAACGTGTCTTCCTTTCTTGCAGTAGCAGTCTCTCTCTGCCCTGAAACACCCCTGAAACACGTGCGTTGCCTACAGGAAACGAGAACAGGTGGGTGCACGGCTGGCCCAGATGCACACTGTGCCAAACACACAATGAAAACAGATGCACAGTTTGGGGGGGGGGGTCAAGATGATAAGTAGCCAATAGTACACAGGACAGATTCATGCACACACACACACCAAAAAAGTTCAAAGGAACTTGGATCTAGAGATGCACAAGCAGACACATAAATGGGCTTAGCACAGTCCTGCCTGCACAAGATCCTATGCATGGAACGTCTAGTGCTTTCCTCATGGTATATTACAGTGCTGGGAAATTGGTTGCACAAAACCTTGCAGGAACACAAGTGGGGATACAGTAAGTTTGACTTAGTGCAAGTGGCTGTTGCAGCCTTTTTCTTGCATTCCCACTGCAGCCCTTGTGGAAGGGGAAACTTTAAAAACTAGACCCTGAAAACTGCCAAGTTTGTTTTTTTTTTTTAAAGGTGCCTGGTGGTGAAAAACAGTTCCCTTGAACAAAGGGGTTGGATCCCACGGATCTTTTCCCCGTTCCCTTGGATTCTTGTGTGAAGGGAAGGCTTTGGGAGCAGAGGGAAAGCTCCTCTTGCAGAGTGGTTCCAGCTCAATTCCCCCTCCCTTTGCTCAAGGAACCTCTGAAGCAGAGAGCATGCTTCGCATTCACATACAAGCCCTCAGCTATCTCAGAAGCCACCTCCAGAGGATGGCAGGCCCACAAGTCCCTTTGCCAAGCAGTCTCAGTGGCCACAGCCACATTTCTTCCCCTTTTGGCCTCGGTTTGCAAAGCAAAATCCAAGGTAGTACCCTAATGAAGAAGATAAGATTGGATTTATACCCCGCCCTTCACTACCTGAAGGAGTCTCAGAGCAGCTTACAATCTCCTTTCCCTCCCCCTCCCCACAACAGACACCCTGTGAGGTGGGCGGGGCTGAGAGAGCTCTCCCGAGAACTGCCCTTGAGTGAACAGCTCTGAAAGGACTTGTGACTGATCTAAGGTCACACCAGCAGCTGCGTGTGGAGGAGTGGGGAATCAAACCCGGTTCTCCCAGATTAGAGTCTGCTCTCCTAACCACTACACCAAACTGGTTCTAATGAGGGCTGGATTAGACCCTGGGTCTTCCATCTGCCAATCCCCGACAGTGTAAAGTTACATCAGGTTCTGGCCTTGCATGCCCAGGTTTCAGGAGCTGCAAAGGACTTCTGCCAGAGGGGCTCCAGTCTTGTTCTCGCTGCAATAAAGTAACTCGGCTACCCCTCTGGAATGCATCACCAGAGAGAGACTTGAGAGATTGCATCAGAACGGCATTCAAGGAACACTGAATACAGATGCTTTGTTCCACTGTCACAGCAATGGTTATGCCAGAAAAATATAGCTGCCTGTACCCTGCTGGTAACAGGTGTGTCGCAAAATCCATTGTTTCCCCATGGCCAAAGAGGAACAAGGAAATGGTAGTCTCTCTCACCTAAGGAACCTTGTCCAGATAACGCCATGGCAATTAGGCACTGGAGCAGAAAGAGCTGGGAGGGAGAGAGGGAAGGGACATTCTTCCATGAATCGGGATCCAGAGGTTTAGGCATCGGGGTTGGTGTATTGTTTGGGGGGAGCGGGTTGAAATTGCCGGGAAACCTTTTGGAGCCCCCCCAGAAGAAGCAAGACAGACTCCAGAGCAAGCAAGTTCTCAGCTGTGGCAAGAGTAATGATTGTCCTTTGCTTTTGGATGGACAAAGGGATCTAAAACCAGATTTTGACGGGAGGCTTCCAGTGGAAGAAAGCGCACGCGACTTCCACGTGTTCACAGGTTAAAGAAACAAAAGGGAAGGAAAGGATACCCATGTTTCTGCACCACTGGCAGGAAAGAATGAAAGTGTCTCTGAGCCAGCAGACACACACAAATTTGCTCACTGCTAACCAAAGACCTATGTTTATTTTACTTTAGACAAAAGCTTTCGTAGGGAA